TGTTGCCCTCCAAAGGGTTGCCCTGGTCTCACTCCCATGCTGTTTTTTCCTTCCAGGTGAGGAAGTCTTCGTGCCTGGATTTGACATTGCAGGTCTGCTGCCTGCCAACCTGAAACTTTACTTCCACTACAATGGCTCTCTAACCACACCTCCCTGCTACCAGACAGTGAAGTGGACAGTCTTCAACCAGACGGTGCTGCTTTCTCGCGATCAGGTGTGTCAGGGCAATGAGCTCCATGCTGGTTCTTTCCTAGCCTCTCCCTGCAAGCATGTATCATCTGTGTCAGTGCCCTGTGGCTCACCTGGCTCCCAAAGATGGGACAGATGCTGCTCTGCTCACACTGTTCTTCTTCCAGATGTCAATGCTGGTGACGCACCTGAGAAATGATGACAACAATTTACTGCAAAACAATTACCGGCCGGTGCAGAACCTGCACGGGCGATGGGTGCTGGCGAGTTTCCAGACCACCCACTCTGTGGTGAAGCAGCTGCCTCCTGGTAAGGAGTGTGTGAGTGTGCTCAGGCTGCACCCCACTACAGGGATGCAGAAATGGGGAGAGGAGGAGGAATCAAGGCTTCACATCCCTTGCAGAAGTGCAGCATTTGCATGGGTTAGCCCTGCCTGGAAAGTGGCTTATGGTAGCACTGGTCTTGGGGTTTTGTTCTCTCCTGTTTCTGCACTTCTCTCACCCTGTGGGGGGAAGATTGATTTCTAGGAACTTACTCTATTCTTAGTCTTGCAAACATAACAATAGCAGGACTAGAGGATATATTGTCAAGGGCAAACAGCCAGGTCCTAGCATCCCAGCTATCTCCTTCAATCCCAAATGCAATAGATAAAGTCAGTAAGCGCTGTCAGAGGTACCAGCTTGCATCAAGCACCACTCCGCCAAACCCTGCAGGAAGGGTAGTGCTGGGCACCACTCCTGAAGGATATGCTTTGCCAATGGGGCTGTGCACCCATCCTGACCGGGCACACAGTTCCCTACCTGAGGCATCCCTCTCTGCCTATCCTCAGTTTGTTCTTGAAGGCCTTTCTTGCATTGGTGATTTCCAGGAACGAGTAGAAATTACTGTTAATCCTCAGGTGTGACTATCGTTCTGCATCACTCAATTTTTTGCCAGTTGCTGCTCCCTGAGGTCACTGGGGTTTTTCTGCCCAACATCCTCTTCCTTTTCTATTTTGATGGCGTTTCCTACACCTTGTGTCAAGGTGACTAATAGAACACACAGTCTTGGTCCCAGGCCTCTGGGCAATGCCTTGGTAACCACACACTGCAGTGCAAGGCACTTCCCTTCACCGTGCCACCCCCAGCCAGCTCACTAATGGCTGCAGGCCTTTTAATCACTGTGGTCTTCAGCCTAGGTAGCAGTTTCCCATGTGGCACCGCATCAAATGCTTCACTGAAGTCGTGAGAGATAAAATCTACTGCATTTTCTTTGTCTAGAATATCACTTATCAAAGAAGGATATCGGGTTAGGCTGGCATGCTCTATCTTTGGTAAACCTGTTAGATACTTTATCATATTTTCCATTTACCTTCAAGCCTTTCTTTTACCACTTTCTTGCAGAAGCTGTTCCAAACCCTCCAGCCACTGACGCTGGGTCAAGGGGGGG